GCGCTCAAGCTCTTCGGTGACGCTAGCTCCTCGTAATCAAAAGAGGTACCATTATTGGCGATCAGAATCTCGATCCTAAATTGACGTGCCGGGCAAAAGTCAGGTTTACATGAGACTATCGAAAGATGACTTGAAACACGGAAAAGTGTGGTCGAACTTCGACGCCCTTGATTGCTTGCGAGAAGCATCGTAGAGAGACTGATGTTTGCACTGACAAACCTTGCTAGAGACTATGACTACGCTAGCTCATTCTTGAAGAGGCTTAAACGTTGTAAAGAAGTGGGGATTGATTAGATACGTTCTTATCAAAGAGCTGCAAGTGTCATTCTCAATTCTGCTCGACTGAGCAAACACTGTCTAACAGTACCCTACACTTACAACTGCACACTTCTTGCATGTTAATGGGAGAATCAAGTCGATGCAGTCGTGTATTGGTTTCCAGCTATTGATGTTTCCTTGTTCCGCTAAACGTCGATCATAGCATAAGAGATGATTTGGCAGAGTTACCCCTGCACGGATCCCCGTTTTGGAAAAGGCGGACAATTCTGACGCTTTGGTACCACCGATTACAGTGCAGTGCTAAGTAGTCTAAGTTGTCACTACTCGAGTACCTAATCATAGTTTCGTTTCTTCTTTACAGGTTTGCTCATGTTTGTTGCGCTAATGGCCCGGCAGGCCACGCAGATCATCAAGGATTAAGGAAGATAAGCTTTGAGATTTCTTTTTCTGGATTTGCATTGCTTACGCTCATTGGTTCGCGACCAGAAACAGAATATCTTTCACGATAAATCTTTAGTTCCCAGATGCGTGGAACCAATGGGTTTTGTTAAGCCTCTTGAATTTCCTTTTTCAAATAGACCGCTTGAATGTGAGAGCACCGAGTAATTAGGTCATCACCGCAATTATCTATTCTCAGCAAAAGAATTGTTATCGGTCCCGAGTTAGTCATCGTCTATCGAGTGATGGATGTTTGGACATTGCTCAGGTAAAGCATCCCTTTCATTTTAAATATTGCCACAAACAAATACGATGTGTATTTGACAGAAGGTTAGTCTTGTGTCGGAATTGAACAGTTTCCAAAGAATGGTTACTGGCATGTGATGGATGTTACGGGGATTTTGTTCAGTACAGCTTCTGTTCGATAAGTCGACAAGGCAAGCTCTACGTTCCACAAATCACCGCTGGTATTATGGTGAGGTTGCATGATGCTAAATGATGCGAGTTGTATCAAATATTTCTCATTAATTTTTGAAACAGACAGATCTTTGAAACCCCCACCCCCAAAAACGGCATGTTTTGACCCTCTTCGCAATACGAAACAAATGAATTTTTAACGACCGATTATATTTTTTCAATCTAGGAGATACCGCTTGGAGAATGAATTAATAAATCTGCTTCGCCACATCGAATTTCTGCGGGCTATATTCGTGATGGTTAACATATTTCAATTTGGAGGCTGGAATTTGCCCTGTACTGGGACAAGTGAGTTTACCAGTACACTACGAAAGAAAAGTATCGCGGCACTCTCTAGGTGCCCAGGCGGCATAACTTGTAGGTGATTGATTGTTTGTTTCAAAGCCACATGCAACGTTCTACAGCCTACAGATTTGTTTATGAGTTTTTACTTGCCTTGATTTAGTTAAAACCTCAGCCGAAAATCCTTTCTCGAGTCAGCCTTAGGGCTGGTCCGAAGAGTTTAAGATTTGGCTTGAACTACACAGATCTCCAAGCTTGGCAACCATGATTAGGATGCAAATGTACAAGGAGTAAGGCAAAAACAGAGGAAGCGAAACTTAGTGTCCAGGCTAGGGTCCCACCGTCACTTTATCGATTAGCGGTTTGTGCTAAAGGCAGACTTCCACCGGAAAGATCGCACTTCGATGATTTATGTTAGTATGCGAGTAGAACTTCAAGCGCGTGTCAAAAATCTAATGGTGAAATATTTCCGGAGACGGCGGGACTCGGATTGCCGGTGAGCAACACGTCAATGTCGGACCCAGGATGAGTGACTGAGGGTTGATCGGTATGGTTGATTGGTTCCATACATGTCATTTGAGAGCGTTCTCGACCCGATGGATTGATGGCGGACTGAATTACGAACTTTACATTCTTATGCTGCCTATCCTACCGCTCTCCCGTGCAGCCTTGTTCTGTTGGTTAAAAGTGTAACTCCTAGCTAAACTTTGAGTCAAAATTCACAACCAATGATGACTCGATTATTCACAAGAGGTGGCTTTAAAACCACGGTTCTGCCGGTAATAGAATATATATTTTCTAGGCTGGATGGGGTTTCGGCAAGATTCACGCTATGCATACGATGGTATCCGAACTATGCGAGACTGCTCTGACAGCCGCACTAGTTGGGTACTAGACTGATAATCAACAACCGACACTCCAGCCATCCTCATAAAACTTTCCCGTTGATCTGAGTAACGACCAAATTGATCGAGGTGAGCTCATGAATCTCACACACAGACTAATGCACACTTTGCTTTTCTGTGAACCTTCTTCCATCACCTTTTCAGTGCTGATTAAGGCCGACGTTCTACTGTGCACATGTATTGTCTATTTTCACTGGTTTACCGACAATCGAGTTCCCAAGGACTGATATTGAGAATCCAAGATATTGGCGTGAACCATTGATGTATTCATGCATTCATGATGGCTGCAGGTACACGCTGTCAAACACGGCTCAAAGTCAGAGTCTATAGGAAAGCCATCTCATCATAATAAGAGTTTATTTTGATACTCGGAATTCACAGAGATATGCGGAAGAATTCATCACACAATAGGCTGCAAGTCCAGAGCAAAGTCACTCCCGAGAATCGTCTCATCATAATCAGCATAATATGGCTTTGCGAACAGACAGAAAGTTCCCGAAGAATGCATCATGCGACAAGCTGCAGGTTCATTGAGAAGACGCTCTTGCAAAGTTGATAACCATCTCATAATAACGAGTCTCATATGATATTGCAAGCAGATAGAAGGCTCAGGAAAGATGTTTCCTAGTATGTGATAGTTCATCATAGCCAAGTAGGTGATCATGATCGCTAGTACAGTAGTATAGAAGTCCCCAATGTGTCAAATCGATACAGATGAAGCTAGAATTGTGATTTGCATGCTTAGGTGTCATCTCAACTCAGGTGCAGCGAGAATTGATTTGCATACCTACTTACGTGTCATATCCTGACACAGGTGAGGCTGAAATTGTGGTTTGCACGCATAAGTTTTTATGTATAACTTCGAGGATCTTGATGATAAACACGCAAGAATTGTCCTGTGTGCAGGCAACACTCGAGACAGGCATCATGCTATATAAGACCTAACTGCACGTGAGATTGACATCAACATGGAAGGGAAGCTCTAAGGCATCATTAGCATCAGATACTCTAATATCAAATGTATGATTCATCAATTTGCCCGAGAGCAAGTTCACCACGATAATATGCCAATCTTACATAAATGTCTGAGAAAGCTTTCTTGGTGTACTCAGCCGCCGTCATTATTGCTCGCATTCGAACTTTACTATCAAAAGCGCTGTGAATTTTGGCACGGACTTGATCGATATTCGCAAAAGATTGTTCCACATTTTCCTTCAGCACGGAAAGATTTCTACACAGCCTCAACAGCCTGATTGAAAGACAGCCGATACAAATACCCTGTGTTTTGGTCAAGAGGCTATAGTTTCTCGTCAGCATCTTGCGTATATATTTCAGCGAGACCCTTGCTTACATTCCCGTTTCTATTCCCTGTGTGTAATTCTTTTTGCGGACATTTTGGAAAAATTATCTTTCCATTTTGGGAAACATCCAAGCGCAGTCTAAGGTCGTAATTCTCGTTTGGGTGGTAACGGAAATTGAATACGAAATTTTGAAACGAAATCCCGACTCTCGGACACGACTGAGTAATAATCGGCAAAAGCATTTATCTCTCTGTGGCTTGAGCCTCTTCATTTTGTATGATCGAAGTGGCAATTCAGTACGATTAGTTTGTTTTCTAGAAGGATTGAATTTAATTCTGGGGAAATATTGAGGCTTATGCTAAGTCAATTTTGAATCTCAAAAATTGTTTTTGTGAAGAAAGCTACGTTCGAATTTAGTTCGATGGCATGGACTGCTTGGAAGTGGGCAGCAATGTGAACTCATAACCTATTAATCTCTCAATCGCAAGGACAATCCCGTTTTCTTGAAGTGATTTCTTTCAATCGTAAAGAAAAATCCCGCAGTATTGCTACAAATAATCTGCCAAGGGAAAACTGCAGACCAACATGTGCTGGTGGTGTGGTTCACAAAGTTCTATTTTCGGCCGAACATTGTGGAGGAAGCAAATTCATGGAATTCAGTTGCAAGGCCACTGTTTAGCGGGATCAAATAAACCGGAGTTCTAAACGAATTTTCAATGTTCCCTTAATCCCGGACTCAGAGTTGATAGTTAGTGGATTATGCCGCCAACTGACACCATGGTTATCTTTCTCACGAACTGACAGATGTCAAGTCAGGAACTCACATCGTGGCACATCATGTCCCAGCTCATGTTCGCTCACTGACATGTCAAACCTGTCAATGTAAGAGGTTGCGAGGTATCTTAGTCATTCTTTTTGAAACGCGGAGTTGCGAGGGGTATCAAAGACCAGGGCTTCTTCTAGCGAGGAATTGTCGACCTATCCCTTTTGAAAACTTCGAGGTCATCCTGGAAATGTGTTGAATCTAGGTCGATGCCGAAGGACTCATCATTGTGATACTTGGGGATGCGAGCATTTCACGGATGTTTCTTTTACTCGGGAAACATTTTGAATGGGATCCGGACTCCAGTTGTGAGAGAGATATGAGGGGAAGCACCGATGCGGTGACGAGTGGAATGGTACAGTGTCCACATTGATATAGTCAGATAGCCAAGCTCATGTAAAACGTTGACATCTGTCAAAATAATACATTCTTGTACAAATCTTATTTTCTTTCATTTCTAGAGTTATTGCCAGGTGCATCTAATATACAGTCAACATGGGGAATAATCAATCACAACAAGCTACAACAGCGCCGTCGCTGGCAACGATGGCTCAATCTACGGCAAGACTTTCTTCCTCGCGGCAAATGACCATGAGTACTATAGCGTCGCCTATACCAGCCATCTCCCCCACATCTCCTAATGGAACATTCACACAGTCGACATCTTTAAGATCAGTTTCTACAGAGCAAATAATGTCAGCAATTACACAAGCCGCTGCTCCAGCTGCCGCGCAACCTCAAGGAACAGTAACAATAGAGGTCACCACAACACAGGCAGCTGCTCCAGCTGCAGTTGAGCCTCAAGCAACGACAACGATAGAGATAACCACAACAGAAACCGTCACCGCACAATCACAAATGACTTCCTCAAGTATACCAAGCGAGCCCTCCACTTCCAGCACCAGCACAGATAAAGGAACAACAGGAACAGCCAAACAAGCAGGGCTAAACTCACCCTCTGAAGACAAACCACCTGCCGCATCTCCGGCTCTGCAAGGCGCACAACTAGATCCAATGAAACCTTCAATTACCCAACCAAAGGTCGGACCTTTCTCTCCCGTCGCAGCAATTCTTGGAGGGATCCCGAATAAAAACGTCGATGTACCGATTACAGTTGTGTTTCTGATATTGTTTATTGTGGGAGCTGCATCACATTTCATCAGACATGAAATTAACTCGAAGAGGGGACATAAGTTTGTTATCTCGGACATGATTTTTGATTTCTGTATGGTTAGGAATGTAAGTTGTAAAATACGAATGTCGCTCAATGGGCATCAAGTGAATTGAGTGCTGACTTACGAATAGGTGACTTGTATCATGAGAATTGTGTGGGCATTTCGTCCGGAGAATAATAGTATTGTTGTTGCAGCTTTGATTTTTGAAAATGCCGGGTAAGTAATCTTACCATTTCCAAACCAATTATGGAATTTCAGTACTGATGAACAAACAGAGTCGTCGTTCTCTTCGCCGTAAACGTAATTTTCACCCAACGAATCCTCCGCGCTACCCATCCAAATATCGGCTGGAATCCCATCGTCTCGAAAGCTTTCCTCGCGATCTTGATATCCGTCCCCTTTATCATATTCTGGAACATCATCTCTCTCACCATCAGTTTTTTCACTCTCAATCCTCGCTCTCTTGAAACAACGAAGAACCTCCTCTTATTTGGTTCATGCTGGACACTTTTTCTTTCGCTGTTCCCAGCTATCTTTGTCACTCTTGCTACCGCAATTCCATCTTCTACTCCTGTCGAAAAATTCGGCGCCGGCAGATTTAGAATGAAGCCGATAGTTCTTATGCTCGCTACTGCACTTCTAGTCACTGGAGCAATTACACGTCTTCTAGGAGCTGTGATTGAGAAACCAATCAGTGCACCTAGTCATCTATTTAGCAAACCCGTTTTCTATACTACTGGATTTATGCTTGAGATTATAGTTGTGTATGGATATCTATTTTTACGTGTGGATTTGAGATTCTGGGTTCCAAATGGAACAGGTGGTCCTACTGCTCAAGGAAGCGCAGGATCATATACCGTGAAATCGGAGGATGATGAAGAGAAACTCGTTGATGGATCGGGAGATGAGGGAAAATTACGCCCACGCTCAAGTCTATATGAGAAATTGTATGGGAATGTCGTGATAGGATTGGATACTAATATTCCTATATCTTCAGCTGAGAAGGTATCTGCAGCAATTGCAGATTTAAGTATGAGTACTAGGGGAGAGATTTTCGGAACACAGGTTGAGAGTCCAAGTGAGGATGTAGTGTTGTATGCTTTCAGGGTTGGAGGATCTGAAGATGGAATGCCCACGAGACCACCGCGTGCTACTTCTTGGGCGGAAAAATCAGGAGGTGTAGGGGCTAATGTTGAAGAGTTTATGTGAGAATTAGATGAGTGGAATGTGTGTGGTTTGCAAATATCAGGTGGGGTTTAAATTTTCTAAAAGTAACGGCGGGACCGATTTCAATTGTAATTTTAGTTTTATTACATAGGCTCATGCTTATAATTTACAAGCTCTAAGAGAACGTAACTTGATATTCAAAATGCATGCACCACTATGAGAATACTTCACTCGACAATATTTTCATAAATAACAAAACTGGAATACACACATACACAATCTATTTAAATCATAAACGACGCGATGGTCATCAAAGGTCCACAAGCAGGAGCTCTCCAAAGCTTCGGAAATGGGTTCCAAAAACATAGAAATCTCTCCTCTCCAATACTAGTCGTAGATTCCAAAATGACGCCCTATCCTTCGCTCCTATGGTACGATTGTCCACTTCTAGAACTTCAACTTCCAAGTCTTCCAAGTTCTGACCCTTCCTCGCAACACTTGAAACGAGCAGGCAATCAACCGACCGCATTACACTCGCCACCTACCTATCCTGACATCGATGATAAATCTCGGACATTATCCGACACCGATCAACCAACTCCATTACTATCGCTGCCTGGCTATCCGGACACCGACGAAAGCTCTCAGGCATATTTTGAGGTCTATCAAGTGAAACATGAGCTTGAAGGATGCATCGAGACTGAGATAGAACTTGACGGGGTTTGATATTCACGCAGTTCCGAGAAAATCGTCGAGTTGGCTTATCGAGCACAGGCAGTGCACTGCATTACCATTAAACCGGCATAGCAATGTGTGAGAGAACTGGTAGGCTTGACCACAATGAATATATGAAACTGTGCCAGATGTTAAATTTCTAGTTTTGTGGCTATGTATCTGGCAACTTGTCTTTCTTCTCCATCACAGTGAGTCTCATGTTCAGATCTACTGCAGTATCCAGCCAGTACAATGACACATGAATGAAATGCAACAAAGTTTCCATAATCCTGGCTCTGCAACCAGCCTAATCATACTATTCCACGCAATGACACATTACAAAAGATAAATCACAAGATATCAAACCAAACTGAACAAGACGTGCTAGGAACACCATTCTTGTTTCCCTGTCTTATCTAATTTCACTTAATTATTGAAACTATCAACAAATTGCTTGAACTCCTTTGCCACAGATTCCGGCGCCTCAATAGCATGCCAATGTCCCATCCCTGGAAGAACCCTAACACATTTCTTCTGTGCAGTCACACCCGCTTCATCATGAATCATTTTACACCCCTCATACGAAGCCGTCTTATCTTCACTACCAGCTAGGATCATCATCGGTACGTCAATTTTAGCATAATCCGGTCTACTAGCCGAAGCAATAACTTCACATGATGATATGTAGCCCTGGGTACTAGTCCCGAGGATCAAACTCCTGATAAAAGCTTTCTGGGTAGACGAAGCTTGAGCGCCTGTAGCAGCCTCTGGTATCGAATTGGCGAGCGGTTCAAGCCCATCTAGCACAATCAGTAACCTGTTTTAACCTCCAATTCCAAAACAAGAAAACTCTCATACCTTTCCTAATCGTTTCAATCCTCTTCTCAAAAACCTCTGTTAAAACTGGACTTGGCACCACCGGTCCTATCAAAACCAACCCCTCAACTCTTTGTGCATATCGAATAGCAAGCTCACACGCAATAATCCCACCCATCGAGTGGCCCACCACCCAGACTTTTCCCTCAACTGCTGTTTCGGAAAGTGCATCGAGAAGTGCAATTGCATCATCGACAATCGACGCTACAGTTTGTGGGGAATTCGAATCGCCGAGAGAAGATAATCCGGATCCGGGCGTGTCGAGAGCAATACATGTTGAGACACTAGAGAGGGAGGGAATAACAGTATGGTAGAAAGTAGACGAGGAACCCAGCCCGTGGATGAAGAGTGTAGTTACCGGGTTCTGGAGATTTTCAGTTTGCGGGATGAGGGTGTAGAAGATTGATTTTTGGTTTAAGGTGATGAAGGGCATGATGGAGGTGCAGAATCGGATTTATTTCAAACAACTTTCGAGATGTTTCTTTTTATTAGATGGAGTTGTTTATTTTGTGCTGAACGGAGTTCTTTCCATGCCCATCTATAGCTTCAAGCGGATAGAGATGCGGCCCACATGTCGGGGAGATAGCCGCACGTGATTTGAGAAGATATCTCATCAGAAATCAACCGCAATGTACTCGTAGTCTCGATCTGCTTGACTGTGCTGAAATGACAAGTAAATAAGACTCGTTTTTTCATTGTATTTGATGTTCGAAATCTATAAACACGTGATAATGATACTTTATTCGCTACAAATGACCCTTTGCCCAGTATGCAATGACAGTTGTCTGATAAGAATACATACATATCCACGCATTCTCACTTCTTGCGAGTCATTGACGAAAATCGGATAGGTCGTCACTCTCATGCTTGCTTCCATTCCCAAAATACAAACTTGTTGGTTCAAGACAAACACACCGGACGTCCGTTGGGGTAGAATCCTCTACCCTGTACGGCACAGGAATTCACATCTCCGTTTCCCATCCTAGTACGGTGAAGAAGGAATGGAAGGGAAAATATACGAGGGAGCCAGTAACTATTGTTGCCTACAACTTTTACGCCTTTTGGACAAGGACAGCAAGATGTACCATAAATGGACGTGTGCCTGTCGGATAGCTGATCGGGTCGGATAAGGTTCTATAGGTAATCTACCGCTCGTGTCGTTATCCGCTCTGTATCAATTTTGTGCGGGAACTATCAGCCGATTCGATTGGTGCAACAAATTGATATGTATTGATATGTCAATGGGTCATTCTTATTCCTTTCGAGTAAAGAAAATTATATTGTAAAGTAATAAGTAACAGAGAAAGAAATTGTAGTGTACAATCATTGATACAAGGGGAATCCAAATTAAGAACTCATCGCAGGAGTTCCGCACATCGATGAATAATTTCCTCCGACCATACTGGCCATCTTGGTCCTTTTCAGGTCTTCAATCTTGATCTTATCTCTATATATGAAAGTTGAGGGATAACGAGTTGGCAGCTGCGAAGATTAATTAACATATTAATTAGAAAGGAAAGAGGCCGACATACCTGGAGTAACACCTCTGCTTGACGAATCCCCAAATGTTCCGCAATATATTTCAGTCGTCCTCTTAGCCATAATCGTTGAGAACTAGTCGCGAAATCAGATGCCGCCGCTGCAAACACTGGCCATATAGCCCACACGCCCGTTACACCCTTGCCACTTATTTTGCTATCGTTGCCACAAGGGAAATATGAGTTGTCGGATAGGGGAAATTCGGCATCTGGTGCTTTCCAGCCGAAGAAAAATGGGATGCTAGACACGATATCCTCAATTAATACACTTGCTTGACGCGAAACTTTCACGTATTCCGGTGTGAGTTTGTAATCGAGGTCGGCAGTGATCCATGCGGTGCATCGTAGAATAGTGGTTAGGATGAATAATCTCGAGGCGCGTACAATATTATGCGTAGTAGCCATCCACAGCTCGCCGTATACATCAACTCTTCCTGGATAACAAGCTGTGAATTCCAGGTCTTTCTCCACTGTATCATCAACCCAAGCCGCCACTTTGGGTGTCCATTCTTCAGGAAGATTAGAATACCAGTCGACGTATTCTTTTTCGATACGTTCTGCTTTCTTCATGTGGTTGAGTACCTTCTCGATGTTTTCTGTGGTATGTCCTTCAAGGGCACAGATCCTGTGGGTTTCTGCGCGTAAGTCTGCAACTTTGAGATTGAGCACTGATACGTCATGTTGTACTTTATCCTCTGATGCAAAAGATGTCCACCAGTCGATGCCTTCCTCAACATCCTTCGAACGGCTGATACACTCGATAGTCTACAAACAATTAGCTATGTTTCATTCGTTGATATCAAAAAATTACCATATGCGTTCTGACTGCATCAAATAAAGAGCGTCCGATCTTTGTATCGAGCTGGCTTTTGCCTCGAGCTTTCACTAGTGCTACAGCTCCATTGATATGAGACTCCCATCCACTTATGGACATAGAATGAGAGCTTATTTGCTAGTCCCAGAGTAAGCATTGTGTATGAAGGAATACCAAGATCTAAAGCCATTTTACCTCGTAGAAGGACAACAAGAACACCGCTGCCAAGGTTGCATCTTCCTTTGCTTTATGTACATCTTGTAGATCGTTGTTGATTTGATTTAAAGCCGTTACATATTGCCTATCAGCTAGAGGTAGGAGCTTTCTAGCATTTGGTTGATTCGCGAAAGCCACGAGTGCTACGGCATTTAAAGCAAGCACAAGTGAGGTTTCTCTTGAGCTGCCATATACGAGTGGTATGAGGAAATCGAGATTTCCTTTGGCCGTGTGTCCTCGTGGAAGAAGAACAAAATTAGACAAGAAGAAGCAAGTGGCTTGTTGATCGATCGGGGGCGAGAATTCACGAGGGATAACAGTTTTGGGTGACCAGGGCAGCTCATTCTCGATCTCTGAGACTGGTGATATCGGCATGGTTGGTTCCGCTGAACCATAATCAGCGTATGAAGATATATAAAATAAGTTTGTGGTTGTATCGTTAATGGAATCGCTAGTTCTGTAAATGATTCCATTGTCCGAGGTATTCATTCTCCTTTTCGTCGGTCGGTCATTTCTACTTTGGCCAAATTGGTAGCTATGTGAGTCTACTGTGAAAGTTGGAACAGTAGTATCGAAAGACGTTGAAGACTTTCGCTTGGTGGCTTTGGTTTGATCTCTAAGTTTGAGCTCAAACTCATCGCGATAGCCTATTATTGTGATTATTAATGACAGATAGATCATGTGTACTGGAACAACACCATACCAGGACATTCTCGTTTTGACTTGTGACATCTCATACATGAAGGCTTACCCTCATCGCACTGAAATAATGATTAGAAACTAATGCTCCATACTTTGATGCTGGTTTGTCGAAGCGAGAAAACATACCTTGATCCGCCTCGCTCTACATAAGTAGCATCCTTTCGATGGTTTTCCCGTGTTGACCATGACGAGATCGTCCAAAATTCTGAACCTGGACTTGAATAGCTGTCGAAATTTCACCGGTCGCAATGATTCCCCTTTGCGGTGCAAATATGATGCGAGGTAATGGCAGTTAGTTAATAAATAGGTTTGATAATTGTATTGCGAGCTGATGTGCTGCAACTGCCAAGAGTCTAATCTCTTTCAAGATAATCACATCAGTTGTTTCGCCCTGCCCGTGAATAGAAAAAGTGTGGCAGTTCTTCAAAAGATGCTTTGATGATTTTCCGCATAAACATACAAGGTTACGGGCAAGAAATGACAGACGAATATCAGTAAGGCGGTTACCATAAGCCAACCACACGAGATCTCAACCTCATATGAGACAGAAGCGTGGTCCCTCAACGACATCATCCAATGATAAAGTTAACCCTTATCTGTCTGAAGACTTGTTTCGAATCGTAAGATGTTTCAAATTTTGGCAAATTTTGCTCTTAAGCCAGATGAAGACCAACGCCCGGACCTTTGCAGAACATTGGAACATCATTAGAATTTCTAGAATGATGAGAGAGTTGACAATAGTTGACCTTGAAGTAAAAATGAATCTTCTTCAACGCCCGAAACACCAGGGAAATCTGGGCTAGTCGATGACAGAGTTGATGATAGTGGCTATGAAAGAGTTGGAACTAAATATCACATAAACATAAACCCAGAATTCTATTTGGAAGTCCCTAAAATGTGACAACTATGCCTCCAGAGAAACACTCCTGAAGTGATTGGAAGGGTTAACTTCGATCCTTCTCGCACGGGTTGTGACTTTGGATGGAACGACAACAGAACACACATCGTCAATGCAGCCAGCCATCACGTGAAAACTGTTAACCATTTCTCAAAATTTCCAAGTTGCTTGTTCCATATCTTTTGCTTAGAAGGAATGGCCGTATAGCATTGAGCAGACTTTACTCGAGTGCAATATCTACCGTGCTGATGGAAAACACATTGGAGGAACGCCAAGATATCTGGAAGTAAGAAGATGAAATTCGAATCATAATTTGAGGCATATTGGTGATTCATGTAGCAAGATACGCAAGTATTACGATATTGGGAATGATGAAGTTAAATTCCATGACATCCTTGGAGTTTTCAAACTCAAACTGATTGATCCTCTGAAAAAGTAACATGATTCGAGCAACAGGAATAGGCAATTTAGTGCAATCACGTGCGCCTTGGCAGACTTTCCCCACTCTGAATCATGTTCCTCCTCAATGATTTGTTTACATTTTCTTGATATTCAAATCCATTTTGCTATTGACCATACTTAGGCAGAGCGTTGGTTAATGCCAATCGAGTTTCAACTATTCCCCAACAATATTATCACGTACCGCGATGGATATCCCTTCCACTTCAGAAGTTTCAAGCACTCTGTCGTCTTCAAATGTAGGTCAGGTAAATGTAACCAACGCTCGTCGAGCCCCGAAGTCTAGACAGGGTTGTCAAAGATGCAAGACCAAACGTGTAAGACTCGCTTGTCAGGAACATAATAACTCGAGTAATGACATGGAGGTAGTTGAAATGTGATGAGAAGAAGCCGCATTGCCTTCAATGCGTCAAAAGAAAAGCAGAGTGTTGCTATGCTTCACAACGACTAGTTTGGTCGACGAAGCATGAGAAGATTCTTGTTGAGAATAATGATAGACCACTACCATCTTCAGCGAAAGCTCTGAAGAGACAGTTGGAGCTCGGTTTGAAATCTTCCGTGGATCAAATGCCCGGCAGAGGAGTGACGGAATCCAATACGAAAGAAGATGATGCAGAAATTACTGATCATGCCAAATCTTGCGAAGGAAGCCAAAATGGATCTGTACAGAGCCCTGAGACTACGGTTAGGAGACTATCCACTCCAAATTTCACTGACAGTCTTTCCGCCATTCGGTATCAACTGAGTAACTCGACTGTACCTGAGTTTCTCGTTCATCTCCCAACCATGCTCGTGGAATATTATTTCGGGTATATTTGTGTAATATTCTCCTCGTTTGACGGTATTTTTAATCCTTTTCGGTCTACCGTCGGCCAACTCTGGGACGACTCAGCACCGATATACTACGCTATTCAGAGCATGGCCGCTGCTTATCTTTCATATGACTTCCCACGCATGTCCGTTGTCGGAGCACAAATGCAACGAGAGACATTTAAGTGCTTATATCAATCGAATCGTGCTGGGGTTGAATCTCGTGATAATATCGACAAGACTCTCTTGACTGTGCTTTTGGTTGGTCAAACTACAGCATGGCACAATCCTCGAGATTTAGGTCTAGCACATCTGAAGACAGCCAAGAGATTGTACAAGCAACGCCTATCACGACAAGGCGCGAACCCAGATCACAAAATGCGCCGACAAAATGAGTTTTTCCAGCAATGTATTTTGTACTGGGATCTGTTGGCTGGATTTGTTGAAGATGAAGAAAATATCGCCATGCTAGAGGAGGACAGTATGCTAGTAGAAAGTGCCACCGCTCCAAGTACAGACCACCAAATATTTCCTCATCCCTGGACTGGAGTAGCGCCGAAGATTCAGCGGTTATTCGCTCAAGTCGGAAGGTTGATTCGATCTTATCGAAAGTCAACATTCAATACAATTCCAAACATTGCTCTCGGTGAACCCTTCTTTGATTTCAATTCCATACCTCTCCCACCAACTGTCTTTGCTAGCGTTGAGTGGACTCACAGGGCACGGCATTTGGAAGAAAAACTACTGGCAGTAAATTTACCAACCGAAACCGAACTTGTCGATGCCGGTGACGAGAATACACCCGTTAGCCAGTACATCTTGCTAGCGGAAGCATATCGATGTGCAGCTCTCCTGGAGATATATCGTGTATTTCCTTCAATCTACTTAAATCGACAGCCTGACTCTCAAGAGATACTATCCTTGCCAGTTTCGCATTCTGTTGAAGAATTTTTGATATCGCTTGCGTTACATGTAACATCTCTTCTCGAGAAAATACCGTCAACATCTGGTACTCGATGTCTTCAGCCTATTGTCATGATCGTTGCTGCAAGTGAGCTTAAATTCTCTACAGCATCAATGAACGCATTTTCTATCGATACACCTTTCGGAGCAAACCAATTCGAGGGACCTGGTTACAGACATGGTTCCACCTTGAGTAGTGCAGCAATTTCCAGTAGCATCACTAATTTTGAAGTGGATATTGCGGCAGCTCGTCGGTTCATTATTACTCGTTTTCAAGAGTTCAAACTATCTTTACCTGCGAAGCCCATGACGAAAGCGTTAATACTGATAGAAGAGACTTGGGCAAGGGCCGATATTGGACAAGAAGTATTCTGGAGTACGTTACCTCATTTTTTCACAAAGATTGTGACAACTTCACCCTTATACCTTTTAGATTTGACTTGGTGTTATGTAGTTTACTCACCGTTGAAGTTTTTACTAACTCATGTTGTGTGTAGTGGATGTGATGTCAGAAATGAATCTGGAATGCATATATGGCTAAATCATTTCATTTAAGTTACTCTCACACACGGAAATACAAGAACTGCATCAATCATCATTTAAAGGACCAGGATAATATTTAGCGATGTTATTATATTTTTCGTACGTTCTATATGTCCCTAGAATTTTATCGTCTATAACCGGACGAGATACTCCTGCAAAGAACCAACAATTCATGATACATGACTCCATCGACTTCAGATCCACACGATATTACTACTTTACTTTCCACCACCATTGAGCTGAAGAATTTGTCCTACATAATGTTAGTCACACGAATAATTGTTGTTCATAATAGACCTTACCATTGACCCATTCAGATTCAGGGCCTGCCAAGAATGATACAACTCTTCCGATATCTTGTGGAACACCGACACGTCCAAGTGAGCATACGGAAGCAAGTCCCTTATCAATGATATCTACATCCATGCCCTCAAATCCACCTGGAACGTAATGCCATGCATTTCTATTTTTATGTTAGCGTTATTCCTTGGTATGAGGCTTTGGAAGAACTTACTGCTCGTACATATCGGTTTTGATTCCACCGGGAGCAATACCGTTGCATGTGATCTTCTTTTTACCACAGTCCTTGGCGAAAGATCTAACGAAACCTTCGACGGCCGCCTTACTTCCAGCGTACAAAGCATGGTTTGGTACACCAGACATATTGGCAGCGATAGAAGACATCAAAACAATTCTTCCGTATTCCTCGAGGTGGATAAGAGCTTGTTGAGCGACAAAGAATTGAGCTCTGGTGTTAAGGCCGAAAACTCTGTCGTAATCCTCTTCGGTAACATCTTCCTCCTCCTTGAATATTTCGGTACCCGAATTGCTCATAACAATATTGAGCTTACCGAAATGTGCCTTAGCCTCCTCGAACAAACGTCTGACTTCTGGGACCTTGGAGACATCGGCTTTGATAGCAAATCCCTTGCTACCGAGTGCCTCAATTTCCTTGACAACCTTTTCAGCTGGTCCAGCAGAGTTGGCGTAATTGATAACAACGCTTGCACCACGGGCAGCGAGCTCAAGAGCGATACCTCGACCAATTCCACGACCGGAGCCTGTTACGAGGGCGACCTTTCCCTCAAGGGTCTTGAATGGTGCTGGTGATGCAGACATTATGTTTTTATAGATATCTAACGTAACGTAAGAATGGGTATACGATATGAAAGTACAACAGGTGCAAGAAAGATTATACAGCAATATAAAGCGTGGAACGAGAAATGAAGTTGTATATTGGAATGGGCAATGAACATCTTATATCACTGGACAAACCCGGCCACGACAGCTCCTCGGACCTCTCGGTCTTCGGGCGTACATAAGAACGCGGCGAGGCTTTAGAGGCTTCCATTCCATCCATAGGCAGTGCTCGTGCAGTTTGAAATTCTTGTGTATACTGACACCCATGCAATTCCGATGCGATGAATCGCTGATGAGAATAAGAAAAGTACGAATTACAGATCATCACTATTACCCGATATGGTATCAACAACAGGCAGGGCCCAATAACTCGCGAACTCCAAACAATCATAACTCTACAATATACAAATTCCCCAATTTATATCTATGACAATTGTTGATAATATGTTTCAACAATTCTCCGCACGGCAATGCACGGATTTTGGGAGTAGGATCAAGTGTAGTCCGCTCACTCACTAGGATAGCCAGGTAAGCGAAGGCTTTGCAAGCTGAAGGTCTGATCATTTACCAATCATATAACTAATGAAGACTTGATGCTTTCTTCCTCGAGAAGTTCTATTCTACTTTCAGGTTTTTAATCATCTGATCTAAATCCCATTAGGTTTGGTGAACGGGAAATATTTCCCAATTAATACGAGAAATTGTCAAAGTTGTTGGGCGATACTATTACATGCATTGAGTGAGGGCCGCTTTGGCTAGGCTATTGACTACGATCTTTAGGGTTGAGACACCCCCACATTGAGGTCACTCCCCACCTGAACCCATGTCTTTGGATCGACATTGATAACTTCATGATTCAGTTTGACAGATCTAACAGCAGAACAGTAGCCAGTCACCATGAAACAAGATCAAGAGCGATTGCGAGATGCAGCCAGAAAACAACATGCAGTAACACGATCCCAGTAAAGTCCGGACTAATCTCATCGTCATCAACTTCATCATCACCATCTCAGCCTTGGCTTACGGAGCTCCAACCATTGTTGCGATGCGATGAGAAACAACAAATTCCTCTACAGTTCGCTTTCGTTGTTTCAGATCCGTCCAAAAACTGGAGGAAGTCCGAACAAGATTCGGTATTGACAGCATTCTACCACACTATCACTAGGATAATGTTGACTGTAACTATTAGAAAAAAGGTACCCGAGGGTCATGGCGTGCATATTCGTCCCGGAGGTTGTACAAGCAGCCGGACTCGGGCTCAGGAATTTCACCAAAGAGCGAGGCCGCGAGGAATCGAAGCGGCGCGAAGCTCAAGCTCAAGATAGCTCATGCTTGGATCGTTAGCTCTAGCAGTGTACATATATGATGTGCAAGTCGTCGTTGTTCTTTTGATTTTTCTTTTGACATTCTATTCATACTCGTCCTCATATTTACATCGATTTCTACTTACACAAACAACATATCCTCAATCAATATGGCTCAAGGCCGAATTTCATTCGAGGGTAAGCACGTTCTACTTTGTCTTCGGACAATGAATTGATGATAAGGAATAATGCTAATAAGATATAGATTACCTCGATCTCACAGCATTAGTCTTCGATTGGGGTGACAGCTACGATGCAAAGGTAACCCAACCCCAAACTTCCCTCCCACCTAATCCCCCACATCTCCTAACACTCCCACAGGACTGGAAAAGACTCGAATCCATCATCGCACCCGAGCTCCTCGTAGACTACACCACCATTGGCAAAGCCCGCTGGGAAGCCATGCCTGCCTCCCAATTTATGGCCATGGTAACCGATGACGATTTCCTCGGCGATCCTTGCGTCAAGACCCAACATCTTCTCGGTGCTACCCGCTGGGAAAAAATCTCAGACGATTATGTTATTGGCCATCATCAATTGAGAGCTGGTCATCAAGTATATAAAGATGCGGATTTGAAGGAGATCAAATTGAAGGGTCATAGTCATGCCACCAATGAGCATTATTATAGAAAGGTTAATGGGGTTTGGAAATTCGCGGGGCTGAAACCACTTGTGAGATGGAATGAGGGTGATGGAGAGAATGATTTCTTGAGGGTTTTCAAGGGAAGTTATAAAAAGTAAATGGGAAAAGTGATATCTAGTTAGGTTAGGTGTCTGGGGTATGAAAGGTCGCTTTGGAGTCTTCAGGGATGATAGCTTTTTGGTGTTGTTGAGGTCAATTTACATATTATTCTATGATTATTCAATGTTTCAGTGAGAAGTTATTTCCTTTTTTAGATGACAAAGTTGTTGTTCTGTTCTGAGTTTATCCATCGTTGGCCTGGGTGCTCAACCTAGTTTTTAATTGCACATCGATGTTGAAGAGCTATCAAGCAAAGGAGTAAACGAATTTTCTCTGTAATGATTTTTCTGCTTTTAATAATGATCCTGTACGAACCATCCAAAGCCTTATTTCTTTTAATTAATCTATTGCACATCTCATCGTCGCATATACTCGAATCACAATATCATACCTCTCATCGATTCATCCATCCTCTTCCCCCCAAACCTTTCTACGAACCTTCCCACCTCCAAATTTCATCACATCAACAGACTCAAAACTCTCCAAAAACATAAACTTTAAAACCTCCGTTCTTAAGCTTCCTATATCAGAAACTCGAATTTATTACCTGTGATGTCCTGTCTGCTGCTGGATTATTCCGTGTTGTATCCTATCAATGTAAGATTCATGATTCGAATTATCGATATTAAATCTATCTCAAGTTTTATCTCATCTCATTTTCTAATATCTTATTAGACTATGTCAGACCATATTACATCATATCATTCTGATCCCATTATACATGACCCATCTCATCCCATCAAACCACACAAAAACTTCAACCAAACTTTCAAATCCTTTCCGAGAATCTCTCGAGCTCGAAACTTCATATCTCGAGAAGAATGAAAGAGTGAGATAATAATGATGTAATATCTAAGATTTCAGAGTATTTAAATGTATCACAGAGAGATTTATCATGGAGTGAATGTTGATGTTAAGGTTAAGGATTGAGGATTCAGGGTTGAGGACTGAATGTTTTTGTATTGCGGAGAGTGATGTATAGGATATGGAATATGGGATACTATTATGGTTTTACGATGTATTGGAAGAATTGAAGGGTTGGAATATACGATGGATTTTAACGGTAGGAATGTCCCTATCTACCTGTCTACCTATCAACAGGAAAATATTTCTTCCGAACCAAATCCATACACTCATAAATATATCCGCTGTGTAGGATTAGAGTAGGTGAGAAAAGATTTTTAATCTATTGTATATCAGCGAGTCGTGATTCATGAGCCGTGAGAAATGTATTTTACATCTCAATTTTCTTTGCAATCTTCAATACAATATCCAGCTTCTTCTTCATACTTAACAGGAGGAAAAGGGGAACACAATGCAGGAAGCGAGAAGAGAAAAACCGTGGGGGAGTATATAAACCCCCGCTCATCTACTATTCGAGTTTCTTCTCTTTAGACCAAATGCAAAACCGTTGAAATAAGTCAAGAAGAGTCCAGCGGAGCGATGTAAAGCTGGGTCATCTATCCTCCCTCGGAGATATAGAAATCGAGCGGGTTTTTGGGGATTTTGTGATTGTATGATTGTGTAGCATAATAGCTGGTGTGAATGCCTATGAATTGGTAAGATTTGACAACGGCGGTTATATGGATAATCTTGATGTACTTTTGATAAAAATACATTATCAATATTATTTATATCATTTACATTATTATTATATCCTCTCCATCATCTATCATTTATCATCCCCCAATCTACTTTACACCTATCACAAATAGCAATCTTCGTCTTATTTCAAGAGTCTCAAGAATCGAGACATTCCTCGCCATACATTTGGGATCTTTGCAGGAAATTGTTGCGCTTTTTTGTTCCGAGTCTCAGTCTTTAAATGCTGTTCGTGTGAGATTCTAGTGGGGGATTCTGGTAGGTGAATGCCGGGGAGATCATAGATGAGCGAGTGAATCTGAAATACTCTAGCTTACCCATCCCTTCTTTTACTTCCACTATGTCATATTTACTACCTAGATGTTTCCCTGAATCACATAGCACTTTCCTCATCCATATACTCAAGAGTTCCAGCGTCAAGAAGTGGATAGATGATAAGAAAAAAGACAGGAATTCACTCGTGAGCCAAAGATAGAATACAGAAAAACAATCATGAGTATATAAACCACCCCTCCTCCTCCTTCTCGAGACAAGAATTCATAAACAAGGCAACAATGAAAATGGAAAGATGTACATGTGGTTCCTTCAGTCGGAGATGCCGCTGATTAGCAGATTTGGAAATGTTCACTCAATTTACATTCGATGAGTTCTAGCTCGCAGGTCAAATTACCATTTGTGATGATCGAGTTTCAACGAAAACAGCAACGACAACAATGATATCAACAACAACAAAACGACTCATCGATAATAAAAGTATTTAGAAGTCTTGCCCAGTATAATCAATACCCATGCCACGACACCATCTCTCTCTCCCTCCCCATAAAACTAACAATGATACTCCATCCTCTTCTCCAACTCTTCCATTCAAATCCGCAAATCCATAAATTACTGCACTACCTCTCGAGGTCCTCTAGTATTCTTGACACTCATCAAACTAGCACTCATCGAGCTAGCACTCATCACCATCACCATCATCAACATCAAAATGAAAATCCCCCCTACAACCCTATCAAAACAGCGATGCCCAGTCCAGGCCTATTCCAACGGGCCCCAGGCGGGAAACAGCCACACACAGGTTGATTTCAACAAGGGTTCTATTATTTTCAGATATCTACCCTCTCTCCCCTTTTTCTCCCTAGTTTTGGTGAGATCCAAAGTATTTTCAATAAGGCACAGCCAAGAAAAGCCACACACAGGTTGATTTCAACAAGATCTCCGCGGTTTCTAAGAATCCCTCTTCCCGTTACTTTCAGTGAGATCCATACCTATTCCAAGCAGAAATCCACTGTTTCGAAGAAATCCTTTTTTTCAATATTTTTTCTACTACTTTCAATTATGTACAGATTGCTTTTAGTGAGACTCGGCCGGAAATCGTTATACACAGGGTGAATTCAAAGTTTTCTAAATCAATTCCAACGAGATCCGCCCTCTCTCTCCTATTCGTCGCCAAATTCAGCGAGACCCAGGCTATTTTCATCGACATCCTGCCAAAAGCCAGCGACACCCTCCCTCTCTCCCTCTCTCCCTCTCTCCCTCTCTCCCTCTCCCCTTTCCCTTTCTCTCCCTCTCCCTCTCCCTCTCCCTCTCCCCCTTTCCCCTTTCCCTTTCTTTCCCCCTCCCCACCACTTTCGCAGAAACCCAAGCTGATTCCAGCCATTCCCACACCCAAATTCCCATACCCAAATTCCCACACCCAAATTCCCACACCCAAATTCCCACACCCAAATTCCCTTTCCCACCCCCAAAATTCACAGATACGCAACAAAACATTTCTGCACCCTCTGCTCCCTCACTCCTCTTTCCTATTAATCCACACGCCACTCCCATTCTTTTTGTTACACATCTTAAACCGCAGTGAGCTTGCTATTTTCGATTTTTCGATTTTCGACTAATACTCTCGGGACATCTAATTCATTTTATTATAGATCTTCTGCCTTCTCCCCCCCCCTTTTTAAATCTTGACTTCCTCTTTGATCTCCCGCCTTGAAATTGAATTCCTGGCATACGTTTAGCACTCTTCGCACAAAACGTTTATATGCATTCTGCCTCCCAAAGATAATTTGTTGATCTCGAAACTTTCTTCTATTTCTCTTTTTACCTGATAAGTTATAAGATAGATATACATACTCATTGAATGCCAACTCTCCCATAACTCACAACCCATACCCCACAAACCACTACATCCCAGCCCCAACACCCTCACCCTCACCCTCACCCATCAAATTACATTCATTTCCCAATCCTCTCTCAACTTTGTGAACCATCCCATCCCCTCCCCACCCCCCTCCATATTTCCCACCATAAACCCCTCCAAAAACCTCTCAACCTCACCTCCATCCTCCAACTCCCCAATCCAACTAACATACTGATCCGGTCTCACCAACACCATACAACCCCTCTTCTTATCCACTCCAAACCCCTCATACGCCTTCCCATACCCTTCATGATACGAAAGATCATCCACATAGACCTTGTTATAATCATAACCATCCCTTGTACTCCAAGGATGGAGGATCTCCGGAAGATCTAGAAGTTCGATATTTATTCGCGGTGTGCTATGGATCATCAGAATTTCGATTGCCGAGTCAGTTCTTTTGGTTCCTAATGTATATTTCGCCGCGAGAGTTTTTAATCCCTCACTAAGAGTTTTGATTCGAAACATTTGATTCCCGTTTGATATATCTCCGGCGAAAACTACAATTCTCCAACGTCCATCACTTTTTAAGAGTTCTTGAAAATGCCAAGGTCTCGCATCTGATTGATTGAGGACTTTGAAACTGGGCATTCGCATTCCGATCTTGATATTAGTGGCCAAGTGTTGTTTTCCTACAACTCTAGTATTAATGTTCGAGGCAACTCCGATCTCATAACCTTGTGCTGCAGCATCATCTTCTTTGGCAACAATGATACTAGCGCCGTAATTGACTGATACACCACTAGCAAATAAATTCCCCTTTTCGAAAGCATTTTTGAACTCTTCCATACTAATACCCTCTTCATCCATAATATCTTTTGCTGGTCGGCCGGAAAATAATCGAGAAAATTTATGGTCAAAGGTGATCAGTTCTTGAGCAACGGCGCGGCGCTCAGATTCGTACGTTCTCAAGATTGATCGATTAGCAGTTCCATTGAGAACGGCAGCGATTTTCCATCCCAAGTTATATGTATCCTGCATACTAACATTCATCCCTTGTCCAGCTTTAGGTGAATGGGTGTGTACTGCATCACCAGCCAGGAAGATACGATCGTATTGAGAAAAATTCGAGGCAACTCGCTGGCCAATTTGATAAGCTGTCCACCAATCACAGGTTTCGTAATCTAGTTTGTAAGGTGCCATTATTTTTTGAGCAGAATCCAAAATCATTTTGGGATTGATGGACCATCGCTCAATCTTTGATCCAATTTCTGTTGTAGTCATCTGTATGTAGAGTCTGACGAGTTTGTTTTCTCTTGGAATAACCATCATACTACCCGACTTCGAAGAATGAATCGCACATCTCATTCGAATATCTGGAAAGTTTGTGATGGGAATAATATCAAGTACACCCCAAATGAAATCGGTCTGTTCACCTTCGAGTTGAATTCCTAATTGTCTTCGTGTCCAAGAATGTGCACCATCACATCCTATTAGATATTTTGCCTGGACTGTCTCATTTATCACGGTTAGTTCATTTTCATGTGCGTCACTCAAAACTTCATCGGTATCATCATCAGCAGCTATGTTACTTCGGAAGAGACCATCGGAAGTTGCTGCTCCATCTCTTGTTGCTTGACTCTGCCTGGGGTTAATTTGATCATCGGTAAGATGTTGTACAACGACTTCAATAGGATATTCATTTAAATCTTCCGCTTTTGTTTCGTCAAATGCTAGCGTGTATGGAAATATCCCACGTTCAACTTTGATGTTACTATGTTCTTCGAGAGAATCGAGAAAGAATTGCTCTATGCGACCTTGAAGAGACATCTATATTAGTTGACTTGCTGCTGCCATGAAATCGTCCATTGTACGTACCTTGATGCAAAACAACCTGTTGAAACCGACTAATTCCAGGAATAGTATCTGGTATTCTATCCGACCTTCTCAACCTTCCTTCAGAGTCTGGATTCCAGAGACAAATCTCAAGCATATGATTGCTCTCCTTCCATACTCTATCTGCAAAGCCAAACGAATCAAGAATTTCCAAGGTACGGCATTGGAGTCCATCAGCTTGACTGGAACACAACTCATGTTAGTCCATGGATTTGTTGAATCTGAGGACTCTTCGATAATCCATACCCGGTAAAGATCTTGGTGCCTCTCTTGTCAATGATTCGAGCATTAATTCCACAACGAGCCATCCATGTTGCTGCCATAAGACCAGCGGGTCCAGCTCCAATTATGAGAACATCCACTTTCGAGAAGGTTTCCCGAGTCAAGTCCATTTTCTTGTATACCCGCGTAGATCTTTCTTGATCGCCTCCGATTCAGAAAGTCTCACAGGTAGAAAATATGGAAGTATAGTGAAGATATATCGCAAAGGAGCTTAAAGGTTTGGTCAACTGAAGTATTAGAAAGACAAGTAAATAATGGTTTATGGAATGGCCTTGATAGTTGAACTTGAAGCTGTTCTTTCAACTCCAGCTTGATGCGGGGTTACATGTGAGCATCACAAATGGCGTACGAAGGGTAGTATTCTTTGCAATCCTGGTGATGCAGATGACAATAAAGCCACGGCTTACTTGTATTTGAAAGGGAAGTCGTTACTGGCCAGAGAAGGAAGTGACATTGCAATTGCGCAGACAGGTGTGTGTGTGTGTGTATAATCTTGGTCTCTCTGTTTTCAATTACCTATTGTCCCACCCAGGGCTTGGAAGAATGATTTGTATCGCGTTGAGACTTTCAGACGATCGAAACCAGGGAAGACAGAGCCATTGATATAAATCTTGCATGTCGTTTTGACATTTGACACCGATTGATTGTAACTCTCCTCTCCATATCGTGGATAGTGCGGATTGCGGAATTGGAATTGAAGCGTCTGTCTGTCAAAGCTCACCACCGGTACATGAATCATTGCGGGGGTTTCATCATCGGGGAGGTAACGAGATTTCCAAGAACGCCCTTCCTAGTTGGCTCGCAAATCCCACGCTTCCGATTGGTTCTCATCATTTATCTCCGGACCCCACCAGTCTACCTTACCTAAGTTCCCCTTCAGATCCACCAGATCCCAAGCTTCATCTACTCATTCCTTCCGTCGACACCGAAAATCCATTCATACTGTGGGGTGTTGCGGGGTCCAAGACTTCACAACCGTAACATGTAGGTCTGATTGTCTCATCAATTGTAAGCCATTAGAAATCTTTGGCGTTATGTGGACCGAGAAGGTGTGCCTTTCGTGGACCATTGATCCCAAGCCGCTATGATCCGTCGGAAGTGCAGTACCCTTCCGACGGATATATATTTCAACGTCGTCCAACTCTTGACTTCATGAATTGATCGATATATTGCTATCATTTCTTCTTTCTCTTACTCTCACTCATACCTATCCATATATCCAAAATGGCCAACGCAACAGCAAATACCAATGGCACTGCCTCGCACAAATTCGATCCCAACTTCACACACAATGTCATTGAGGCAATGGGACCCAAGACCAGTCCTCGTATGAGAGAAGTTATGAGTTGTCTCATCAAACACGTTCACGACTTTGCGCGAGAAGTAGAACTGACAGTTGATGAATGGATGCTGGGAGTTGAGCTTCTGAACGAAGCCGGAAAGATGAGCGACCATAAGAGAAACGAGGGACAATTAGTTTGCGACGTCATTGGCTTAGAATCGTATGCGTTCCTTCTCCCAGAAGTATTGCTCTGTATCTCTAACACGTCAACTCTACAGACTCGTGGACGAAATCACATTCAAAAAAGCTGCAGATGCAGTTGATGCTCCCACCGCAAGTGCGATTCTTGGGCCATTCTTCCGACACGATGCTCCCGTCTTGGAAAACGAATCTTCCATTATTCAAACGCCAGTTGAGGATGGTGAGATAGTATATATGCATGGAACAGTCACAGATCATAAGACCAAGAAGCCTATAGTTGGCGCTACTGTAGATGCATGGCAAGCATCAACAAATGGATTATATGAACAACAAGATGACGAACAAGCGGAACATAACCTGAGAGGAAAGTTCAAGACTGACGAGAATGGACATTATGGATTTTATTGCTTGAAGCCAACCCCATATCCCGTTCCATTTGACGGTATGTCATATACCCTTTTGAAGAGGTCAAGCTAATCAGATCCAGGTCCCGCCGGTAAAATCCTCCAATTATTAGACCGCCATCCATTCCGACCAGCCCACATCCATTTAATAGCAAGTTCCCGCTCCCACCCTGAAAATTACCATGTGCACTCAACTAACAAACATACAATCGACAGGTCCAACACGAAAACTACAAACCTCTCACCACCCAAATCTTCAACTCACAAGACGAATACCTTCAAAACGACTCCGTCTTCGCCGTGAAAGATTCGCTCATCGTCGATTTCGTCCCGTTGAACGGTAACCCCAAAGCATCCCTCGAACTCAATTATCCCGTAATCCTCGCTCCTCAAACCGGAGGAGCATAGAAAATCAAAAATCATCTCGTATATGTATATAATCGGAGTATAGGCGTACCGTACCATAAATCCCTCTGTTAAATAAAACAATTTCGAAATCCAATATAAAATCATCCGAAGACCTTCAAATTTTTTAATTTTTTTTCTTTCGGAATATAATGAATAAACTATTTAGTAATATCAATATCATATCAATATCAATATCAATAATACCCCCCATTTCCCATTTCCCATTTCCCATTTCTCATTTCTCATTTCCCATTTCCCATTTCCCATTTCCCATTTCCCATTTCCCATTTCCCATTTCCCATTTCCCATTTCTCATTTCTCATTTCCCATTTCCCATTTCCCATTTCTCATTTCCTATTTTAAGTCTTTTCTTCTCTATACATACCTACCTATCTATGAAATATTCTGAAATTTTCTGAGATTTCTATTGTTTCTATTATTTATTTATTATTATTATGACATTCAGTCCAAATCAGGCATCATTCTAAATCAGTCATTTATCATAAGACCTAGGTATTCCAAATTATTCAGTCATTCACCAAGTCTAAATAAATCTAAATATATATCTATCTTCTATTTATTTATCTATCTACCTATTACCTATTTACCTATCTATCTATCTACCGCCCAACATTTCATTTCATTTCATCTCATCTCTTCTCCACACCTGCACTTACCACTCACTACTCACTAACTCAACATAAAATCTCGGGATTTTATTATTAATTTATTATTTATATTTATATTTTATTATTTATTAGATTATTATTATTATTATTTATTATTTATTAGTTTATTATTATTATTTATTAATTATTATTATTATTTATTATTTATTATGTATTATTTATTATGTTATTATGATTTTTTTTTTATTTTATTTATTATTTATTTTATTAGTTATTATTTATTATTTATTATTTATTATTATTATTTATTATTTATTATTATTATTTATTATTTATTATTATTATTTATTATTTATTATTATTATTTATTATTTTATTATTTATTATTTATTATTTATTATTTATTATTTGTTATTTATTATTTATTATTTATTATTTATTATCAATTATCTCCTATAATCAAGATATTACAAATAATTACAACTATAGCCCCGGGGATCCAAGACCTCACCATGTTATATTAATATCCCTGAAAATTGTTTTCATTCAGATTCCAGATATTAAATTCTAGTATACGATATAAATCTAAAGAACTAAAACATCCACACAAAACAAAACAAAATAAGGCAAAATAAAGTAAAATAAGAAATCAAATCTGTATTCATAAATCTAGAAATTTAATTCCCCACCCCACTCCACCCCCATCCCATCCTATCCCACCCCATCCGAACCCAATTCCCCTCCCCACGCCACCCCACGCCACCCCAAACCCATCCCTCTCACTTCTCCCCCGCAGCCCACCTCCCCAATACCCCCACGACCCCCTCCCCCCCAGCAACCACACACCACTCCCCCCCTCTACTCCAAGCACAACCTCTGCCCATAAAACTCCAGCCGGGGACCGTCTCAACCTTATGAGGCAGCAACCGCTTCAACGGATACGCTTGACGAATATCATATTTGTGATTCCACAATTTAATATCCATTCTCGTCGTGGGGATTTTTTCCACAACGATGCCGCCTCCGGCTTCGCTTTCCAATTTCAATCCGTTGAGAGGAGGATGAGAGACAAGATTGGAATGTGAAGATGGGCCCGAGCCACTTGTTGCGGTGGTGGTGGAGCTTGCGGGACTTGCATCTCGTACTCTGTCTGTGACGCTTTTGAAAGCTCCTCCTCTTTTGCCTCTGGTACGGAAAGGGGTTAAGAATGCGGGACGTTTCATTTTACTTTGGGGTTGTTCTTCGGAATTGGGTGTTTGCTGACCAGATGTTAGGCCCGAATTTGATGAAGAGGAAGGTCCTTGTGATTCAGATTCATGCTTAGAGGTAAAGTGTGGAGGTAAAGAGCGTAAATATTCGTTATAAGCGACTAGACGATTGAGATCCCAGAAGTAAACTTTGGATCCGAGAGCAGGGATTGCGAGTATAGAATGAGATATTTGAGGAAGGCCAGTGTTTGAATCCAAGTTTTGATCGGGAACGATGGATGAAGATTGATTTGAAAGTGGAATGCCTTCAAAAAGCGAGAAGCGAATCCAAGCAGTTTCTGTTCCTGGAGTGGAAAATCTGGTTGAAATTAGCTAAGGATTGGTGAAATTGAATTATGAGTGTGGGAATAAAGATAAAAATGGAACGATGTAAATTGAAGAGAGCATGTATTCCCTTGGATGACGCTCCGCTGGCCCTCCGGGGGCCACTGCCGTGGAGGCAGACTATTCAAAGAGAAAATGTTCTTTTCGGTGATAAAAATTCGTGTTCATCCGAACACTAGAATAATATACTACCTGCTGGAGAACTCAAGAGGGACGATCCAAGGATGTATACTACGCCATACGCGTCGGGGAATCTTTCAACGACCAACATAGCTTTTATACTCAAGACTTCGAGCGTAGCGAGCTGAGGGGGTTTGGGGGCTTGCCCCCATAATATACCAAGAAAAAGACCAGCAGCATAAATTTTCTACTATTACCATCTCAAATTGAGATCGGAGTGGAAAGGGAGATTACTTCTGCTCATCATGCATTGAATGGATACAACCGGATTGAAACAAGGTCACAAGTCTTCTATCGGAAGGGAAACACAAAAATACAAGAAACAAAAAGAAGGGAAAAATAATACATACTCAATCAATCTAACATAAGGATCGTTCTTTGTCGGATCCGTAAAACATGTCAGAGTTGCACTTCCATTAGCAGCCTCATGTTGAGTTGGTGCTTCATCTTGACTTGGAGGTCGGCCTTCAGAATCAAATCCTGTGATTTCCCAAAGTACTATACAGTCCTCACATGCTGACCGAGAGAGAATAGAATCATCGTGGAATTGAACGCTTGGGAGGAGAGTGTCAGTAAAGATTTCATTTGTGGCCTGAGGTAAGGAAGGGGCAGAGAGGAATTGAATGTGGTGATGATGGAGACATGAGGAACTACCAATCGACTGCACTAGTGTGAATTTCAGATGTCGAGAAATGTGGAAATTGAATTTCTGTTGCTTTATTTGTTGCAGTATTTTCATCTGGAAAGATAGGTAATGTCCACTACATGATGTTAGAAATCCTTGTTTTCTCTCCAGAATATGAATACTAACAAGACATATCATGTAATCTTCGCCTCCGGATAATAAATATCGACCAGAACGATGAAAAGCCTTTTGTTAGTTAGTGGTCTGAGATGATTTTATGAATGATGTAGACGTACAATTGTTAAAATGGTTGTTCTATGGCCACCTGATAATATCGCCGCACAAGGATGTTCCTCGTTGTTTTGATCCAAACTCCAGATTCGAATTGTAGTATCTTTGGAACAAGATGCTAATATGTGAGGATCAGTTGGCGAGATTATCAATTCATTGATTGCCTGTCACTGATCAGTCTTTACAATTCTACATTACGATGACTTGGTAATCATACTCCTCCATGTCCTACAAGTACCTAATAATAATTAGTATCTGGTACACGAAGACATTCCAATGTCACTCACCCTAATAAGTTTGCCCGAAAGTACATCCCAAATCTTGATTTTGGCATTGAGTCCTGCTACACAAAGGAGAGGCTTCGCTAAATCTTTTGTCCAACAACATGCGTAATGCTCTGTATCTGGCTAAGGATCTCGTATCAATGATCAACCATAATGGTTATTCAAATCAACTGCTTACCTCCTCGTCGATAATTAATCGTACAACCTCGATTCCTTTCTTATCAGTAGGAGGTCTACATATCAAAATCTATGTTTGATTTAGTAATGTAGATGTGATGAGTGAAGGGAGAGGTAAAACTTACATGTCTCCCACCTACCACAGCATAGATGGGATCGACACCAGGTTTAGTGTAGGGATAAAATTTGACTGTCCAAAATTCATTCTTTTCGATTGTTGGAGCATTTTTACGTGTTTCTAAAACTTGTCAGGCCATGATTAGGTATGAGGGGATACCGAAACGGGTAATCACATACCGGTAGGAAGATTCTAAAGAATGATATATGCAGTTAGATGTTGGGTTTCTTCCACTCAGGAATCTTCCTTGCTGTGCATTAAAGAAAAAGTTGGTGGAAGCATATCAAATTCTCACCGACATGCTTTCAGAAACACCCGTAGTTGCATATTTGGAGATGTACGAACTTACCGTAAATTGATGAGCCTCTTTTAATTTCGGCAATTCCCATTCACCATGTCCATGTTTCCAGCTCATGATTGCAGATTGAGTTAGAGTAAATGGTTACTTGATTGGCTGTCAGGAGATTTTGAATGGAGTTCAATGCGGGTTGATATGTGATAGGCGTTGCAGGACGCAATGTCGGCGGGCTCCAACTCTCGGAGTTGATACTACAAAAGTATTCTTGATCTCGATTCTGTAGTACTCAATTCAAAATACGGACCGATGTCTGCTTTGAGTATAGGAATGGAACCCGAGATGAGATCCAACGGATGCACTTGCTGTCAATCAATATCCCGGCCCAGAACTTGTTCTCACCGACTTGCAGTAATGGATTCCGAGAACGGGATTGATGAGAGTTTTCATCGAGATTTGAGTTGAATCTGGAGTAGTGAAAATTATTAGTCCACGTGATTATGGAGATGGATGTTTGTTATTTTGTGTTTGGTGGTTGGTGTTTGCTGGTGTTTCGTTTCACCAAACCAGCCAATGCTTTCAGAATACAGACGGGTTCGAATGTTCCAAAGGCGTAATCATTCCAGCCCGTTATCATTCATTCGGTTCAAGAAAAAGACCAAAAGAAAAGGACAATGAGGCTTGTTTGTACACACATTGATTGTGTAACTTTTGATAACCTCTCAACCTACCGAATTTACGGAAGAGGTTTGTCTGGTAAGTAAGCAGGTAGGTGGGTATTCAATGCTTTGATAATGAAATATCAATTCAAGGCATAGTGCGGCGGAAGATTGTTTTCTCTGGATATCAGCATTGACTTTGCTTCTTTGCTTACCTCTCTTCAATATGTGGTGGATTTTGATTGAATGTCAAGATTAAAGTTATCGCGTCTTTGCTTTCAAGACTTGATTATCATTCATGCCATATGGATTCAAGTTCCGAAAGATCTTTCTTATCTTTGATCTTTCTTCTATTATGATTATCGTGGGGGTATCTGGGTATTCAGATAACGTGTGGATTAACTTAAGTCGGTAGGTAGTGACTCGTGAGTAAGGGAATTGAAGGGTTCAATGATTCGGAGAGTTTTGGTGGAGTTCTTGTTGTTGGTCGTGGTCGTGGTCGTGGTGGTGGTAGCGGTAGTGGTTGAGGCGGCGGGAAGGGTAGAAGTTTTGGGGAGAATTCCTTTTGGGTTAGTGTCATGGGTAATAAGTATAATACAAGTGATATAGACAAGCAACAAGTTACAACATATCTTGGGTATAATTGATGATATATTATATACCTAGGTTGGTAATCATAATAGAATAATTATAGAAACAAAAATGGGTTTAAGGAATTATCCAATCATCGATTACAACTACTAGATACATACGTACTAGGTACGTATTAGGTGGAATCTTCTTTTGGCTTCATTTTCATTGAAGAAACAATAAAACTATCTACCTACCAGGTATCTATTTATTCATCTATCTATCTATACATCTATCTATCTATTCATTTATTTATTTATTCATTCATCTATATTTACCATCTGCTACTTATTTACTATCTACTACCTACAACCTACAACCTAGCTATCCATCTCCCCATTCCTATCGTTCATCATGTTCAAACTCTTACCTGACGCAAGCCGCTGAAGTGTTTCACCAAAGCCCTCCATCATGACTATCTAAGCTTGCGGAGTGACTACTTTACCGGTCCTGATTCAGTATTGCTTTTGTCAAAACTACCGCTTATAACGTTACATACCTAGGTATTCGTCAAATCTAGAATCCTCCAAGACATTTTGCCTTCATGATATCATCCCTGGTGACAAGCAATTCCATAATACGAACACGAAAGGAAGGAAAGAGAAGGGAGGCAAAAAGAAGTTGATTCGAAGTTTTCCTATTTCAGTGTGTACGCAGGTAGTAGGGATCTTACCTTACGGTTCTTGTCTGACTTGTGCTCGTCTGTACCTATACCTACCTACCTACCTATGTATCGTATCTACTCTCATCCTTTCTGTGACTCCCGAATATATCCGATTTTCCATATCCCTTATCCCGCAACTGAGTGTGCATACATACAACTTACCGTAGACCGTATACCAAATCCTCTCGATTTCATGCCCATCATTCTCTTAGTGATAGGTGTCATTGCATAGGCGGGTGCTACTTGATGGTTCCCGTAAGCTGTCTTGTCATGTACTTAGTCTCCCTCGCCAGCTCCCCTTAATATATTCCATCCTGATATCTTGGAGAATGCATTAATCATGCAACAAGTGATCACACGGGGAAAGAATGGATTATCCGGTCTCGAGCCGGTGTGCTTGGATGATACAAATGAGGCAGAGACGGAGCTGAGAAACGTATGGCTTTTGCCATGTGTGGAGAGCCAAAGAGAATGAATTGACTTTCCCAAAGACAACCCTTTCCAACGGGGATCCTGCAGACATTTCTCAAATTTCTTGGGTCAATTTAACCAATAGATAGCCAATAGATAACCAATAGATATATTAAATCCCCAGTACCTTGTAGATAGTATTAATCCTCTCAAGCCTAGTAAGAACCAAGCACTTTTCGAGGCTGAAGCCCTGAATCGCAGTAAGAAGTATATGGAGTAACATGGTCTAGAATATCTATCTAGATCAGTAATCAACCGATATTTGTTTTTCGCAAGAATAGTAGATGTCAAATATGGTAATGAGTCCACGGAAAGAGTATAGACACTCTTCACAATCGAGCTGAAGTTATCAAATGGGCAAGGGAACAAGGGAAGGGTAGATATCAATAAAACATTCATGGCTAGTAAGTAAGTAAGATTTTGCCTCTGTATATCCAAACTTCGACTCAACCACCCCTTGGAACATCATCGACCCTGAAAATCGAAAGAAACCAATTATATCTTCAGAAATCACCTCACCGAGGGATTCGACACAGGGAGTTCTGTAAGTTTACATACTAAAAATACTAAGAAACACTAAAATGATGTCTTGTAGTAGCCGCCGCTTTTAGCGTTGGGGAGTTTTTCCCTATACCAGAAACAAGAAACAAGAAATTCCTAAGCTTTTACTCGTTACAACTTACAACTAACACGAGAAACATCATCGTCCAAAACACAATTCTATCACGACCGACTACCCATCTATCGACTGGGTGGCATTCATCAAACTTTGAAACAAAAAAAGCAAAACGTCCTACTCATTCCATCCATTTCCATCCTTTTCATCATGCATACGACTTTATTACACTAAACGCCCTACACGGCATGGCATCTTTTATACCCCCCAGAAACCTCTTATAAGAACGAACTTCTGAACACAACGTTGACCTGAGACTCTTGAAAGTGGTAACAGTGGCGGGTCACTCAAACTCTTCCCATTTCATGAATATTTTCTATTCCCCAGTCCCGAAGATACATACATATATATATACATATATACATACATACATACACATATATATATACATATATACACACATACATACATATATACATATACACACACACACACATACATACATACATACACACACACATACATCCTCATTAGACTGCAACCCTTGTGACAGCGGGATAGCGGCAAAGATACCTAGCACACACGCACACAGTCCTTTCTGGGAAAAAAAAAAGTCTGCATATTCGTACCCTGTCGATCAATTGAATCCTGGGAACAGGGCACTACCACCCCCTAGGGTCCATCATCATCAAATACGGAGAAAGGTCCTCAATTCGCTTGTTCACCCGGAACCATCCAATTATATTCGTCAATTCAAAAGTGGCCGTGAAAGTGGTCGGTTTGGAGTACGCAACAGTCAGTGGTACTGCATTTCGGGAACGGAATTAGGGATTTCCATCAAATGGCTTCGCGGGGTTGATAGCACTCAGACATTACACATGACAGACGCATAACCTCCCAACTCTTCTCGAACCAATCCAGCCTATTTTTGTTCTTTTGAATCGACGATCTCCTTCAAAGGACTAGCTATTCTACCGCCTCAGTTCAAAGCAACTACCATGTCCAATCACCATACAAAAATAGTACCACATACATCTAGCTCCATTTCTATATAACCTCCCTAGTTCCCCCCTTTTCTATATTTTTATTTTCCATTCATCACATCACGCTTTACACATATCACTTGTTGAAAGGCCAACTTCGAGTCTTTCGATTCACATCGTCTGCCCATAGAACTGAGCATCTTATTAGAGATACAAACGCCAGATTCTTCAAAATGGAGACTACTTTTATGACTATTCACAGTGAGTAAATTCTTTCTCTAAATTTAACAATGATGTTGGAGATGGTCCTTAGTGGTATGACTTATGGAAGAGTCAATGTTTGTGGGGAAAAGAGGGGTCATTTTAATTTGGATAATGATGAGGGGGGAGATGATCAGGAAATCATAAGAAAAAGTTTTCTTGTTGGCAGTGCTTTGTTTTTTGGTATCATTTGGGAGCAAGATCCAGAATCTAGGGTGGGTAAGGCAGGACTGGGGAACCATCTCTTCATTCTAAAATAACCGGAAAAGTTTGTGAATGATTAAAGATGTCATTATGCGGGGCAAGCCCCCAAACCCCCTTTGCTCGCTACGCTCGAAGATTTCATTTTCACTACTAGTCTGCCCCTACGGCAGTAGCCCCCGGAGGGCCAGCGGAGCGTCATCCATTTTCCTAATGATTCAAGAATGCCTCATGAATTAGGCTAACGTTTACTTTTGATCAGACCTTACCCCTCAAGCCAACATTCTGTTCGCTTCAGAGTCGATCTCTGACATTCTTGGGTATGAACCTGAGGATGTTGTAGGCAAACCTTGGTTCGAATATTTCGATAAGGACAACGACAATACGCCATTTGCTCGTCAAGCTACAAGTCAAGGTGTTCACTTGGAAAAAGCTGCTGTTATTTATCATGCCAAAATCGCACATAAGAATAGCGAACCGGATGGAAAACCTATGTGGGTCACTTGTGAATGTGTTTTTTCGGTTGTTCATGATGTCTTGGTTGCTTGTACAAGTTACTATAACGAAGATCCGCATGAGAATTACATGGATAGAATTCGTGGGGCTATCAGTATGACCTTTTCTCCCTATTAACT